TTTTTCATTATTTAATTTCTTGTTTCAACCTGTTTCAGTATTATTCTCCGTGTAAGAACCCTGAGTATGGATATAAAAAAAATAATTTCTTGATATCTTGGTCCAATATAATATAGACAAATACAATATAGACCCTTTAGGCCAAAAGTCGTGCATGCTTTAATTTTGTAACTTTCATTGGTAACTTTTGTTAAAAACGTTGGTTTTGCTCTGATGAGGTATAACAGTAGGTGTTAATACTAGTCAAGTCATAAATACTACTCTATTTAATATACCTGCAAGAAATTGTTATAACCCCCCATATATCCCAAGGGAACATTTTTAAACTTTTAAACGATGAAAATCTCTAAGTCTCATTTTAAAAACTTTTAAGCATTAAAAATTATTTTAATTGTTGACACAAAAATTTTGCTTGAAAATTTTCTGAAGAATTTCCTTAAAAAATCTCTTGAGGATTATCATAAGAATTAACTTAAGCATTTTCAAGAATTATCTCGAGAATACTCTCAAGAATTATATCAAAAATTTTTTTGCGAATTTTTTCAAGAATTTACTTAAGAATTATTTTAAGGATTAAGTATCTTGAATACAAATAATGTTTGAATATTGTCATAGCAACATGCTCACTTCTTATTGGTGGGCGAAATGTCGCTTGGGCGAAATGTCCACTACTTAGTTTTTTTTCTTCCGCATTTCAATACGCAAGCAGAAAGAACTTTTTCTGACGTTACTGAGCTTGAAGATGAGAAAGCTAATAAGTAAGACTTATATAAAATTACTTAATGCACGGTGTTTTCTGCGATCAATTTGTAAAGCGCGACGTATCACAAATCTAGATTTTCAATCAACGGACCAACACTTTAATCTTTTCAACCCGACAAATTTGTATTAGGACTAGTCAAAATATATTTATCTATTGATCTCAGTAGTTTTATTTCACGCGCATAATGCATGGCTTTAATTTGGCACTAATGTAACTAACAAACACAGTTATATTATGGCTATTGGCGAAGGTACCAACGTTACACATATATTAAGAATAAAAAAAGTAAAATTTAGTCTTTCAGTTATTACGTAATATTTTAACGTTTAAGCTTAACATGTTAGTATTTATGTAAAACACTGATGTACGTGTAATCGAAACAACCTAACGTGCTACACACAGTACCTCAAGGGTAGTGTGGAAACTGTCTAATTTTTTAATCACATGGTAATTAAAAAAAGTGCATCTAGCGTATAGAGCATGAAGTATCTAGATTTCTGAATTTCGTACTTCCTAAATAAAAAGTTTATCAAAAAATAATTATTAATTATTGCTTTTAGTCGATATAATTTATTAATTGTAAATGTATTGTAAATGTAAATTTATGTAAATTTTACCTCATTCATACTCCGTTTAATATATAAATCAGTAGAGATCTTTTATAAATTATTACATGTATGTATTTAGCTTATATGTAATTAAATTATACCTGTGCAAAANATCGAATAGTATAAGAAAAAAAAAAAAAAAAAAAAAAAAATACGCAGCTGAGATTCGAAGGAAAAATCGGCACAATCATTGCGAGCGCTTGCCCACTCAGCTATCAACAGCTTACCCCTGAATTGCACAGAGGTAGTATATAAGTTGTAATGGGAGGCTTGGGTTAACCATAGGGGGGAAGCTGGAGAGAGAGCTCAGGTGGGGACTACTTTAGGCGGCGCGCTGCTGTACTGGCCAATGAGCATTAAGCTCTTCTGTGCACGTGTAACTTTGCAGTAGTGTCTGGCATCACTAGTTTTAATAAAATGAAAATTTGTATTTGTCACAACTGTAAAGATTTAAAACTGATACAAAATACATAATTAAAACAATGTTTTTCCAATCACGAAACTTTGTTACCAGAGCGACAAAGTCCTAAAGCCTAATCTCTTCATTCTTATACAGGGGATACAAATAAATACAATGTTGGAGGATTTAAGTTACTACTGTTTTGATTATGATGAAAAACTAATTTTTTACTACATGAACTCTTCATTTGGTAATTTTGATGCTGCTGTTTCAATCTCAATGAGTATTGAGATTTTAATCTCAGTGAGCCCTGAAGGCTACTTTTCGCCAAATTTGTTAAGTTATCTTTATTGGAAAGTTAGTTCAACGATGAATGGCAAAAAAAAAAAAAAAAAAAACGGTAAACTAAACTTTTTCTTGATAGAAGTTACTAGCAAACGTGACTGCCTGGCTACCTCAAGGTGATTTTCTCTGGCTTACTCTTATAGTACCAGACTGATCGAAAGGAAAACTACAACGTCTGAAATGTTAGAGCTAGTTTAAGAGCTAGTATTACGCCGGAGAGTTTGGTGTCTAAAGCACTTTTTTTGCAGAGCTCAGTCGTTATAGTGATTCAAGGTGAGGAGATTGGTTCATGATGCGTGCCCGTTAGAGACTGTCCCGTTAGCTTAAGTTTATTTTTCCTTCGTAGCTTCACTGTTAGGTTCACCCAGCGCAGAGCTTAGAGAGAAGCGGTGATTCCCAGCCTTGCAACGAACACATCCACTCGTGTCGTTTGTCAGTGAATGACTGACTTGATTTAATAGTGACTGGTTTTATATAGTCTTTCAGTCGACGAATCATTACCGGAAATGGTAGTAAAAATGTATTTTTTGGCAAGGTAGTTAAACGTTAGATGGCCGTAAAAATAACCGATTACATTGATGGTTAAATAGGAAACGTGAATACTGAAAAGGGCCAGTGGTGATACTTCCAGCAGTTTCTTTGTATTGTTACATCGTGGCTCTTCATTTTGCATGATCGATTCTTCCCTCTTCACCTCACCCCTCTGACGTACTTCCAGTCCCCTGTACACCACATCACACTACCACTCATTTTGAATTTAATGAATGGTATGTCTTTTTATTTTAACAAAAAAAAAAAAAAAAAAAAAAAAAACAGTTTTCAATGAGATTCAAACCCCCTTCCTCCTGCATACGAGCAAAGTACTTTACCGACTCTGCCATGAACGGTTTTAATCTAAGAATGTCAATTACTTCTTGTTATCGTGTGGTTCATAACTTATTTTCAGTGTAAATTTTAACTGACTGAAATGAACTTATTTTTTTTATTGAAAGTTTTTTTTGAGAACTGAGAGAAATTAGTACATTACGATACTAGTGCACGAGGAAAGCGATTGACGCGTGTGTGAATTACCTAACCTTTTGCATGTGTGCATGATGTATACAATTTTTCGACACATCATGCGCGGGGAACAAGATTACGAGCCATCTAATGTGGCTCTAAAGATCTCAACGTACACACGCACTCGCACGAGTGCGCAGCACATTAACAACAAATCTCTAAATTCAATCCAAAAATAACAAATGTCAAAAAAATAATTTAAGTGTATTAAAATAAAAAATTACTGAAACCACAGAAAAATAATCACTAATTGATTAAACACTAAAAATGGTTCAAAACTTACGTATATTTATCGTATATACTTTAATTTATCTTTGAAAGTTTAATGTTTTTGACGATTATATTTCATTTAAGTCTCGTATTATTGAAGTAATACTTATTGGTTCAATAAATATATATTCCTGATTTGGTAAGGGCAAGTTTGAAAGCACTTAGTATGATTAAGTTTTTACAAATTCGACTAACTCCATAATCTTGTTGAGTTTTTTTTAGCATGGCTGCAACAATAAATAAGTTATTTTCCTTGTTTCTTTAGAACACGGAGAATGAAGTCTTTGTTTACTGATTATTGACAATTTAATTTTGTTTACATTTATAGATTGATATTAAATTAAGGCATGTAAGTACATTAGGTTAGTGGGGATGGGCTGATAATGATTTGATTCACTTATTAAATAAATAAAAGTTCAGATAAGCAAGCGCATTAGGTTATAGGGATGGATGCTTAAGATCTTATTTACTGATTTCGTGAATAAAAGTGCTAACATGAAAGTGCAATGAATTATTGGTTGGGTTGAGTCCATGATTTGCAAGGGGTATAAGGTATAACTGATTCTGTTACGTGCGTCTTGTATAAATATATTTATATCAGGTCAAAGCATTATATGAAGGATATAGTTTGCTTATTCTTTTTTTTATTGATAAAATGTATCGTCTAGCACTACTTACATTATTACTTCTAGATACTAATATTCTACAGAAAAGTGACAAAATATGTCACAATTTTCAATTGTCAATAAGAGAGAAATTATTTCACTTGAAATACATATGCACGGAAAGGTGTGGGCCTATCTATTACCATGATAGTTGTTTCAGTGACCAAACGCACAATTCATGAATATTTACACAGAAAAAACTGACTCAGTAATCATTCATCAATTGACGTACGTGTATATTCATACGTATATATATCTATGTATGTATATGTCTCACTTCGAGGTGGATGCGGGAGATAGGTTTTAGTTTCAACTTTGGCCACTTCGTTTCATTGTACAGGCACTTTGGCGATGTAGTAGTCACATCTCTCTCGAATATGGCGTCGCGATGAAAGGCGCAGAACTGCACGGAAATGAGACCTCGGAACGCTACACCTTGTATTTTTATATCATGTCTATTACAACACATTATTTTCTATAAATCCATCTTAAAATTCAATGCATCTTTTCAAATTGACTCATACAATACATCATGAATAACATTTCAAAAATTAGCGTTATCCTTTCTTAAGTTACGTGCTTGAAAGAAATAAAGAAACTTGTGTTTGAAAGTTCAAAATATAATCAAAGTTACAAGCAATTTTAATTACGGTATATGTTTCGTAAATTTTTTTGTAATGCTCAAACCAATTTTAAAATTATATTGAATGTATTTGTTTTAAAAAAATTTTAATGAAATTCAACATTAAATTTTAAAATATCTTGAAATTTGTATTTATAATTGCAAATACTGTCTTAAGTTGTTAGTAAATCTCATAAAATTTATAACGATGTACCTGTAAATTTATAATTATACTTAGTTAAATATGGTTAAGTTAAATTTATCAAACCTGAGTAAAAGGAAGAGGATTAGAAGTAACTCCACAAACTGCACAAACACTCTGTTCGACAAGGGTCATGGCAAATTTTTGATGTGGCACGCAGTGTCGGGCGTTGCATACATCTTCTAATTCATTTCTTGCAACATGCAGATGGATACGAAGCAAAATGTTCTCCTGAAAACATACCATTAATCAAATCTTATTAGTTTCTTTCAATTTATTTTAAATTATTGAATTAGTGTGTTAAAGAGGCTTCAGCCTATCACCATGTCTACAATAGTAACACGAAGTTACGTTTAACTCACTAGTATTCACAATGTAATCAACGTACCAAGCTCAAAAAATTTATAAACGTTCCTTATAATGTCTTGTTTCTTACTGTTTGTATAGTGTGTTTAACAATGACAATTTACCTAATGTGACTTTAATTTGAACCTGACAACGAAAAAAAATTGTATTCTAAAAATTTAAGATTGTTAAATAAATGACTTCACATCTTGAAATATTCTAGATGATGGCAGAAACTTTGTAAGTGAAAAAAATCTAACATTGTAAGTTTTATTAATTGTACTACAAATACAAATATATAACGTAAATGTGTGGTATTGTTCGTGGTCAAAACAATGATGCGTCTTTGCAGTGGCGTTAATCTGTCAACTATAAAATGTAGAGGAAAATACGGCAGTAAGACAGTTCATTTAAGTTTGTACGAGTAGTATAAGTCATATTTTGGGGAATGAATGAACTTATAAACACAGCCATTTACTTGCATTAAAATTAAATGACTCGTAATCAACTTAAAAAAAACTAGGTATGGGTTGGGACCCCCAGCAGAAGTGAAACTTTCAACTCAAATTTTATTAAACTCGATACACTAGAAACTGAGAAAATTAGAGTACACATAATTTCAGTAGATCTTTCAGAATCCGATATTAAAATAGTGAAAATTTTAATATTATTACGTATTCGAGCACGCATGTGCATAAAATACATACACTTTAATATACTAATGTTACACGTGATTCGCGCATTCTAAGTACTACCATGTTTGCTATGATTTATGTGATACATGTACAAGTTTTTGGTCGCATTATGTAATGCAGAATGGAACAAAAATTTTCACCATACTGTGCCGAAAGAAAGTACTTTCGTCCCGTTACGCGGGATAGAGTAATTCTTTTTATTTAAAATTAATATTCGTGCATTTGATATGACATCATGTGTGTACAATAAATTTTTGTTGGAACCTTTGTATGCGACAAATAAAATCTTTTTCAGCTGAGTATGTTGCTTTGTCAGAAGCTGTAAGTGAATTAAAGTTGATAAAAGATTTGGAAGATATTTTTAAGTTAAAATTGATTGAACCGATAAAAATTTATGAAGACAATTCAGGAGCTTTAAGCATTGCGAAATTTGGAAATTTTACAAAAAATTCAAAATATATTGAGGTACACTATCATTATATTCATGAAAGTTACTTCAAAGGAATTATTGATATAGTAAAAGTAGAATCAGATAGTAATGTTGCAGATATTTTTTTGAAGTCTCTTGAAAAGTTGAAATTTGAAAAGCTTAGAAGTATGTTAAATTTGGTTGAATGAATAAGTTGTAATGGTATAAATGTAAGGAGGCGTGTTGAGTATATTGTACATTTATATCAACTTTTATATATGTGTAAGTATGAGAGATGGACTAGGGGTGCCATCTCTGGCCGTTTGTCATTGGCTATAATGTGTATCGTTCTTATAATTATGTTATTTCTCTATTAAATCTTATCAACTACTACAAGGTGTATTTGCTCACTTCCCGATCCACGGAATAAATCCCTAAATATTTATTAACATTAACACGTAACTTTATGGAAGAGTTACATAAAAACTGTATACAACTTTTCAACACAATGTACACGCGCGGGGATTACAGAGAATCAAAGTACAATGTGGCAGATGTGGGAGCTTCTCCTGATTATCTCTGCCATATTCAGGACAAACATGCACACAATCCTAATTGACCAATCACTGGCTCGGCATCTCACGTCTGTGAGCTTCACACGTTTGAGTGACATACATCGATATGTGTAAGTAGTGTGAGTAATATACATAGATATACAGCTTATCTATTGGACTCTTAAACATGGTGGCTAATCTGCCACACTATCCCTTGATCCTCTGTATTGAGGAACGAGATTAATATCCATGTAATGTGACTCTGCAAAGACCGCGACGTACACGCACTCGCACGAGTGCGCAGCATGAGCTGTGTGTCGCGTGTGTAAATCAAGGTCTTTAGAGCCATAACAGATGGCTCGCAATCGAGTCCCCATGCACGGCATTTCGAAAAGAATATTGAAGTAAAATGTTCTAAAATATTGAATTACTAAAGTCTTGCTTTAGAAAGGGTTGACTGCAAGGTGAAGGTACCGATGTTGGAACGACGTTTGGTGAAATTTCGTATGAAAATTCATGTATAAACACCTTTATGAGATAACATGAACATTATACAATTGTTATTTATATATTTTGTTTCCTACTCATCTTACATTTTTTGTTTAATTTTATCTTAACAAGAAATAATTTTAAATTATTAAATACTTACTACATAATGTTGTACCTAACGCGAAACACCATTGAAAATGCATGTCCTGATTGTGGTACGTCATTTCCCAATAGTGAAATGTAAATGTTATTTGAATAAAATCTATGTGTTTTACCAATACGACATCTGAAAAGGTTATGTTTTGAATTAAACGTTTAATGAAATAGTCAATTCAATAAGCTTCTTTTGTTGTTGTAATGCAATGGAAAATAGATGTTAAGTTTTCTTGACATAATGAAACACCACTTTTAACATAAAAAATGAATTTTTTCATGATAATATTCCTTAAAGCTCATCATTCATTGACTGTTCCAACATTGGGAGAGGGTAAAAAAGTGCTTTCCAGCATCAGTACTTTTACCTTATATGTCTGTATGTGTTATCAACTCTTAAAAACTTAGTTTGCAAAATGAAGCCTATTTTTTAAAATTTTTCTTAATTTTAGAAAATACATGAAAAGAAATCTCATTTTTTGGAGTAGCTTAGTAAATATGGAACAAACTTTCCTACTTATCCCAATTTTCTTAGATTTTAAGACCTCAGATGTTTTTTAACTGTCCCTTTTTTCAAAGCATACACACCATACATATATTAATAGAGTGGTATTTATAGATATACAAGAAACGTATGCAAGGAAGAACCTACTCTACAAAACAATTCTGGCACAAGTTACAGACGGCCTTTTAGAGGAGTATTTATTGTTTAACCGTTAGACCTCGATTAAAGCTCCATCTATACGTGAAACACTGGTATACATGAAGTTTTGTTTATTAACAACTGAAAAAATAAAAACTTGGTACATATGTTTTTAATGGATTAGCCGATACCTTTCAATGGTACAGGCTTGCGGTTAAATCCATCAAAGGGCACACGAGCATGACTATTCGATTTAAAACAGCATTAACATTCTTTAAAACAAAATTGATTATGCATTTACTAGATCTTTACAACATTTTTTCATTTACATGGAACTTCATTTTACTGCATAAGTTGAAATTACATGTATATTTATTATTAACTATCTTTTTATTATACAACTGATAAACTTGTGGACTTTAATGTCTTCGAGATCTTACGTACAGGAAATTGTACGAAAAATAATAATAAGTCTATGACTCTATTGCTTAAACTAAAAACATATAGTTTAACTATCACTCTTTCAATTAAACATAAGAAATATATAGATTGCTGTGGAGATTATTGAGATATTTCCTTCTGAAGTACACTAATAGACACGATTAGAAAAATGTTGCTTAGAATGTTGTCTGCAAAAAACGCGCTAAGCAGAAATGTATTCAAAAATTTATTGTGAATGAATTGAATAAATATATTTCTTTACTTCGGAACGAAGTAATGCAGTTAGATAAAAAAACCATATTATTTAAATCAATAAATTCAAGACTTTTACATTTAAAATCAAATGAAAAATGAGTTTATAAATAAATCTTCACAATTTATTGTCATATATTAATGTTACAATTATTTCGGTACACTGTACCTTCCACAGACACAGAGGTTTATAAACTAAGCTCTATTCGTTACATTTTACTAAACTTTTACATTTGTGCATAAATTTTTTATTATTTAAAAAAAATGCTCTACTTGTTTACACCTAAAACGACGTGAAATAAGTTATCGGTATAATTTAAAACAAGAACTGAAGATTTATTTTTAACTTATAAGGAAAATTCACATACGACATCCTCTTGGGTATTTTTCTCTTGAAATAGCAAAAAATTTATTTTTTTGTATCGAAAAAAATGTACAACGAAGCAACTTTCATGAGATACAAAAATACAACCTTGGAGCTTATTGGACAATTACAATAAAATTATTCTAGGTATATAATATTTAATTTAAATTTAAATGCTTGCAGAAGTATTATTTTTATAAGAGTTTGAAGAAAAAAAATCAAAGAATAATCAGTAAGACCACCGAAATAAAAAAAAGTCATCGTGAATACTGAGATTCAAACCCGAAAAAGCAAAAACGAAAGGATAAATATGTGTGCGAGCCATCTGGGCTACGAAAGCTCTGTATAACTTGTCAAAATTTAATCATGTTTATGGTGACGCTCTGAAAGCTTGTCCTAAATATCAAGGCTTGCTATATTCATTACATTTATTTAGCAATCTGAATTTGGTATTTATTTTTGTTAATATTAATTTTTTATACACGTTTTAAGACTTTGTTATATAATTTGAGTGGTTTAAAAGTTACTAAAAAGTTACAAAATAACGTTGTCGAGGAGAGCGAAAAGCAGAGAGATTTTTCACACAATTTTTCAATCATGTGAGCTAATTAAATAACAAAGATCATTGTGTTTGTATACAGTTAATGTATGCGTTAAATGTTTATGAACTTCCGAATCCACAATAGTCGAGTGGTGAAGTGTGTTTGTGTCACACGCAGGCTCTAGCTAGTCTTGGTTCGATTTTACTTGGCTACAGACTTTTTTTTCTGATATAAGTAGATATCGGAAGTTGGAGTTAGTAATTGCAGAAGGGAAAAACCTACTTCTCAACGAAATAGTTTTTTATTTGAATTTCATTTTTTAGTTTCGCGGGATCAAAATGAAT